CCTCACTTTCAGCAATCCTAAGCTGATCCTAAGACTCCCAGCCCAGGACTTCTGAAGGAGGATCTCTGGAAGGGAGACGGTGCCATAGGAGCGATCTCACTGAGATCCTCAGTGTCTAAGTGCTATTTCAACCTTTTTCCTGGCCGGCTCCGTCCTACGGGTACATCAGCTTCTTCCAACCTGAGGCTGCCAGGATTTGCTGGGACTGCAACTCCCAGAATTCTCAGCCAACGAAGCTTCTAAGCATTCACAACACACCTGAAGGAGCCTTCATTAGGGGTCGGTTTTTATAGGAATCTGAACTTGTAAGAAAAATGAACTGAAAAAATCCCACTTCGGATCCCCTATCCCTCCCATGCTCCCATCCGTGGTTTTTTGTTTTGTATAAAATGGCATTATATTCCCCCACCCCATGCCTCCCCAACCCTTTTTTTCTTTCTTTTTCCCCATTTTCCCCCATACACGCATCAAATAGCATGCAGCAACACCTGTGCATTGATCTCATTAGAGTTAATACGTTTTTTTTTAGAAGGCAAGGCACATTATGTGGTATAAAACGTATTTTTCTTTGTCTCGTGCAAATTAGGAAAAAAAAAATGTCGATTTTTTTTTTCTTTTCTTTTCTCTTACTTTTGTCCCTCATCATAGATGTGGACTCAAGGGGAAAAGAAGGGGAAAGGAGGGGGTAGGGTGGGAGGAAAAGAGCCTTTATGTATAATTGCCATGCACATTCTCAGCCAGCTGATTGGTTGAGCTAGGTCACATGAAATTCCTGTTTAAAAGCACCATGCAGTCTATATTGTAAGGGTTAATTCTTTCTTTTGCCTTAAAACATTGCCTCTTCATCAATTGCAGGTTTTTTTTTTTTCCTCTTTCAGTTTCACTTAAAAAATAATAATGCGATCCCATACTTCCCATACAAAGCCCCTCCTCGTCTCCATGATACAGTCCTTGCGTGGAGACTGAGGAGGTGGGCTTTGTGGGACGGAGGGCCTGTAATGGATATTCTGCCCAATTCCCACCTATGGGTTGAAACATGGCATCACCTATTTATTATAAAGGTGCACAGATGTAAACAAATGCCGCTGGAAAATCCCCCTTCCCATGATGCCAGGTCCAAGGTGTGTGTGTGGGGGGGGGGGAGTATCTTGGAAAGTCTTTTGCTGCCCTTCATCCAAGGGAGCAGGTCAGAAGGAAATTTTGCATATGTGAACGCAAGCCCCAGGTGGGTACCAGGTAGGTGCTGGAGCCAAATTGCATGAAGCTTAAGATGCACAAAGGAGAGCATAAAAGTTGTAGCTTCCCGACTATAATGTTGTATTGAAGAGGGAAGATTCTGGAACAGAAGATCCACCTGAGAGAGGACTGTAGAGCCACAGCAGTTATTGGTTTCTGCCAAAATCCAGGGCAAATGCTGCAGTAAAAGAGCAAGGGGGTGTCATAGTTTATTCTCTGTTAAAAAAAAAAATCAATTCCGTATATTCTTTTGGACATTTATTGGAAAGTTCTGGAACATCCTGAGCCTGTTGGGACACAGAAGGGGGAAAAAAAACTACTTCTCCCATCCCAGAAAAATAAAATAAAAACAAAAACCACTCAATTCTAGAAGTGGATCTCCTTTGTACATGGCAACGGGTTCACTTTGAAAGTTAGGAAATAAATATATGTTTGTATATTGGAGTATTTGTTCAGATACATGGAATAGGATATGCATTCCTCTTGGAAGTTCGGAGAAATGTATCAAGGTGCAAAGAACTGAAGATTAGTGTTGGTTGTTCAAATAGTTGTCATCTTTCCATCCTGGAGAAGATTGAAATGTCTTCTTTGTATCTCATAGAATACAGTACAAAGGTAACTACAAGAAAAGATGTGAATACTCTCTGAGAGAATCCTGGGACATGTAACATGGGGGTGAGGGGAATTCCATTAAAAATCCCTCATAGGACCTACGAATTCCCTGGGATAAAGAACTACCATTCAATCATTTAAGTCTGTTGAATAACCACTCCATTAGTGATATACACTAAGTTCCCATCACTGTCTAAGTAGTAAAAGTTGGCCATTGTCTTAGCCCAGAGGTGGGGAACTATGGCCCTTTTATAACTTGCGGACTTCAGTTCCCAGAATTCTTGAGCTGGCTCAGGAATTCTGGGAGTTGAAGTCCAGAAGTCATAAAAGGGCCATAGTTCTCCAACCCTGTCTTAGGCCAACGTATGGCTAGATGAGCTTTGCAAATCCATTTGTTTGTGGTTGAAGCATTTCATTTGAAGATACTGATGTTTTCTTGGGTTTTCTGAAGAACTATCCCTTGCAACTCATTGATCTCATTCGCTCTTGACAGAGGTCTGCTGTACAATTCAAATCCACTGCAGGATGTCATCTGGGATAGATTCCTCTGCCTCAATGAGATTCCTCTGAAATCTTGACAGTTTGGCACAAGGAGGAGGAAATGTTACAAATGCTTTTAGAATCATGGCGGAATGGCGCCAGCCCTTGGAGGAAGATTGTCCAGAAGCCAACATGGACTGACCAGTTCATCAGTTGTCCACCTGGCCCTCACGGAGGACTTGGAGCCAAACTCTGACACCCCAATCTTGGCTGGGTTCAAGGAAGTCTGATCCGTGGCCTCTAAAGCTTTGGTGTCTGCTAGGAAGAAGGGATGGGGGGCAAGTGAAGTGGGCGGAGTGCTGCCCCTGACCCATGGTGGGGGAGAGTCTCCATTACGAATGCCGCTTTCCATAACTCAGAGAAAAGACCGGAGCATTAAAATGTAGGCACTTGAACCAGTCCTAGATGGCTTCTAGGCTCCACCTTGGGGCTTGCATGTCTGCGGGGGTAGGGGCAAGTAGAATGGAGTTCTCTACGAAGGGGCAATGATGGAAGGGGGCATCTCCCTCCTCTGCTCCTACCGAACCTGTTTTCTTTTTCTTCCTCATATCCTGAAAGGTTTCTGTGTAAGGTCCCACTTTGCACCATCCCGTCACAGTGGATTGGACAGTCACGACAATCCTCTCCACACAAATTACAGATACACTCTAGATTTACCTTCCTTTTCCCTCCACCCTCCCGCTACTTTTCTCCTCTCCCTCCTCTTCAAAAGTGCATTTCCTACAAAAAAAAATATATGTGCAATCCATATTAGCAGTCATCAAAATCATCTCGAAGCTGGTCTACAAGGGCATGCATAGCTCTTTGTACACAAGGTTGGAAGCTCGGGAGGGGGGTGGGGAGGAGGAGAGAAAGCGAAGCCCTGCTGATCCACTGACAGCCCCCCCTCCCCACTTTCAATGTCTTCCTGTCCACCACCACCCGCCCCCCCAAGTCAGAGATTCAACAAGTCACACAGGTCCCCCGCTGGTGTTCGTCGCACTGGCTGCCCGCCTTCTGAAGAAAGGATGTTAAAGCCGGGCGGAAAGACACCTTGAAGGGTACCTGCAGGCTGCGGGTGCCATGTCCCCACCCCCCACACCCCCACCTCCAAGAGCAATTCCTTCCCCGTAGAAGAGAACAGGCTGACAAAAGTCCGTACAGGCTGAGAAGAAAGAGCCCATCTCTCAGCCTTGGTCCAACTTTAAGGCAAGGGTTAGACAGACCTATGGTCATGGCAGAATTGCACAAGGGGAGTTGGGGTGCTGTTGAAACACAGTGTAATAGCAAGTTCTTTTCCTGACCACCACCACCACCCCCTTGAAGAAATGCCTACCCCCTTTCCTCCACCCACCCCACCCCCCCGAGTTCATTCCAGCCCAACCCAGCGACACATGCGTGGTTTCAACATTCACAGCCAAGTTCCAATGTCTCCCCAGCCCCCAGACAAAAAAAACAAAAAACAACAACCCCCAAACCCGCCACCCTTCCAAACCATCTGGTTCAGGATTGCACTAAGTCATCAACAAAGTCAAATTTTAAGTGGCTTGCATCTGTTCCCTTCTCCCACAATTAACAGACTCCGGTCAAACCAACCCGCCCTCCATCCCCTCCCCCCACCCCCACCCCATTGGCACTCAAATCCATTCCAAAAAATAAAAAAAAAGGGGGGGGGGAGGATGCCTTTTTTTTTTTTGACACTAAAGGGCAAAGCATTCTGGGAGAGGAGTGCAGAAACCAAGCCACGCGTCCCCTTCTTCTCCACCAAAGAAGTCCTGGCTCACACCATGTCAGTAAGTGCGGGAGACCAAGCAAGCCCCCCCGCCCCCCCCCGCCATCTGAAAGCAACACGTAGATTTCCGGGGGGGGGGTGGGGGGAAGGGGTGGGGGGTGGGGAAATGGATGGGGGAGGGAGGAGGACAATTTCGATACACTGAAAAAGGTGCCCAGCATTTTAAAATCTTTTCCCCCCCTCTCTCTCTCTCTCTCTCTCTCTCTCTCTCTCTCTCGAGGGGGAATTAGCTCACGTTGCATCTTGACCTTGGCCCGACTTCAGCTGCTTGACCAGTCTAGATGGCTTGTAGTGCAGTCTCTTGGTCACGCCGACCCCCATATTCCCGAAGGAGGAGAAGCAGGGAGGGGGTCGAGCGTAGAAAAAAAGAGAGGGGAGGGAGGCTTCTGCAGCAGGCCAGATTAATATATATATATATATATATATATATATTTTTCTCCCCCTACTCAACGAGAGATGGAGAAAATAACCAGAAACTTTTGCATATACATCCCTTTTGAGTAGGAGACAGACAAGGATTCCAGCTGGCCACGGACTGGCAGGGAGGGTGGGGATAAACCAGCCCCCCCCCCCCCCCCGAAAGGCGTGTAGTGCTTCTGGCCAAAATGCCTCCCCTGGGAGAGCTGCCTGCTTGAATTTTGCTCATTTCAGGAAAGTCGCAGTCGGGATGGCTTGGAAAGCGAGGTCTTTTTTTCTTTTCTTTTATCTTTTAAAAAGAAGTTTGAGCTTTTTTCCCCCTTCCCTTCCTTCGGTCTTTCTGTGATGGCTCTTCGTGGTGATGATGACGTTAATCCGTGCTCTTTCTTTTTTTTTTTTTTTCTTTCTTTCTTTCCTTCTTTCGTTCTCTCTCTCTCTCTCTCTCTCTCCATGCTGCCCCCAAGGTTTGGGCCAGGGGTGGGAGGGCTGCACTGTTCTCCTCAAAGGAAGCCCAAAGCCCGGGGGAGGAAAGGAAGATGATGACGCAGATGGAAGCTGCAACTAGCCTAGGTACCAGGACTGGAAGAAGATTGAAAACAAATTACTGAGGTGGGAAGGGACCCAGACCTCCAGGTTTCCTCACCCACCCACCCGCTTGCTATTCTATTCACAGCGACGTCTAAACAGAACATGCATTTTGACAGTAACTTCAACATTTAGCGAAACTATCACTTTCAGTAAGAAAGGAGCACCTTTTCCCCTGACCCATCCTCCCTGCTTGGATTTTTATAATGAACTCCCTTCCTTCCATCTGGCTGCCGTGGCGACTTATAAAGGGGGGGGGGCTATCTGTAGCCCAGGGTTGACATGAGGGGTCCTTGGTGCTCTATCAGCCTGCTTGTTTCCTTGCAGAGATTTCATTACCCAAATTATGTAACATCACCTACAGCTTAACAGTATGCTAATCATCACTGATGATGTTACCTAGTTTGGGTAATGAAACGCCTGCAAGAAAATAACTGAATTCAGTGAGCACCAAGGACCGCTCGTAGTGACTTTTCTTTCCTTCTCTTTCTCTTTCCCTCCTTCTTTCCTTCCTTTTCTTCATGCCCTCCCTTGATTACTTTTATAAATAAAGGCAGTAAACACACATTATATTCCTTCCTCCTCTTCTTTTTCCCACAACCATCACCTTTGGCTGTGAGTGATTTGTCTCAAAGTCATCCAGCCAAGCTTCATGCCTAAGGCAGGAGTAGAACTCACACTTTCCCAGTTTCTGGTGTGGTGCCTTAACCACTAGACCATAAGCACACCCACAGGTTGGCTTTGATGTCCTCCCCTACACTTCAATTCCCAGAATTCCCCAGCCAACCGTGGGCCTGGAACTCTGGGAGTTTAAGTCCATTCATTTTAAAGTTGCTGAGGTTGGTAAACACTGATATAGGCAATGGCTCATGAGAATATTTCCAGAAATGGTTAGTGGACCATTTTGCAAACAAGGCAAGGAGATTGTGTGGTTTTGCCCACTGCTCCAAATGCAGCAACCCCTGCATTCCCAGTAAATTTTAGGATGTTCCTTATGCTTAGGATTTTGCTGGACATACTTTGTGGAGAACAGGTGTTGGGACAATAGGGTCATTATACTAGGGAGGTCTTGTGAAATATGATGAAGTCCAAAATTAAGGTTAAAATAAACAGAACTATTTCCAACTGCTTTTTTTTTTGTTACTGCTTTTGAAAATGAATCTGCCAAGTCTAGTTATAAATCAATGTGAAGGAAATTTGGCCACTGACTGGATGAAAGGGGAAAATAAACAATCTAGTCCAGGATAAGAGCCAGATATCAACCTTTGGAGTGTCCACAAAGAGGACACAAATATAACTTCACTCCATTGCCTCCTCCCACCTCCTTCCGGGAATTTGGAGAGAGACTGCTCTGAGAATACAGAATTTATACACTCATTAGAAGTACCAAGTAGAGTCTGGACAAAGTTCAAACATATTCCTATTGATGATTCCAGCAGGCCATGTTCTTTTCATAGCGGATCTCCAGGTTGTCTCATTTTTCCCAACAGTCAGCCAACAGAATTTGGATGCAAACTACCCCCTCATGGTTAGGATCTAAGACATTCATTCATTAAGTGGCCTTGTTTCCAAAAATCTGTCTGGTCCAAAGCCAGCTGGGTCTCTTGACCAACTTCCCATTTAGCCACAGTTGAGTCCTAGCATTTAAATTGGACAGTAAATACAGTAGGTCAGAACCCCAGGTCAAGATTTTGTCAATGGAAGACTTTTCTTACAATTCTGGCGTCAGATAATTCATAACTCTCAAGGACAGGATTTATTTCATTTAAAAAAAAAAGAAAGGAAAGGAAAGCCAGGCTGCTCAGGAACTAACAGCTGATGAGTGAATCAGAGTGTACATACAAGTCAGGATTTTGTGAAGCAATAAACGAGTATTCAATGCTGAATTTTTAACACTGAATGAAATGGAGGGCAGGGCCCTGGACAAATTTGCCATCTGTTCTGGGGATTTTTAATCTGGCTGCCAGTTCCAAAGACTCCTCTGTTTACTATCTCCTGAGCAGAAGTATGAGCAAAACTCTTCTCTATCGGTATTGTAAGCAGCAAAAGGGTTCAGAGTCTCAGTTTCCTGTCAAAAATCTCTGCTTGGTAAACAACAAAACAGATGAATACTTGTAACTTCCCCTTGGCCTTCCAGCTCAATGCTGCCAAAGCTCTAATTTGCTCCTCGGTTTTGCTGAGTGGGGCTTTATAATTTGTGGGATTACTTTGGAAGCAGGAAACTAGAGAGAGGAGAGGTCAACAGATCATGACCGCACAAAGAGGGAAACTGCCCACAACAGCCACACTGAGGGTGTGCCCATGAACCAGAGCAGCTTTAGAGTGGTTGAAAAGATCCAACAATAGAGGAGGGATGTTTGGAGAAGGTGTGAGGAAGAGAAAGAAAAAACAAGGGAGGTTGGATGCCTCTGAGTCCTCTCTGAAATCAGTGATCATCAGCTGTCCTACCAAAGGGTAACTTTTTAAAAAACTGAATAACAGAGTTGGAAGGGATCCTGGAGGTCTTCTAGTCCAACCCTCTGTTCAGGAAGGAGGCCCTATACCACTTCAGACAAACGGTTGTCCAAATTTCTCAATTCTAGTTTGGTTCTCTCCTTGATTAGTCTCCGTTTATTGCTTCTTGTCCTGCCTTTCGGTGCTTTGGAGAATAGGTTGACCTCCTTCTTTGTGGCAGCCCCTGAGATATGGCAACACTGATATCATGCCACCCCTTTTCATTAAACTAGATATACCCAATTCCTCCATATTCAGTAGACATTGGATATCAAAACCTGAAGCCCTGAAATTAAAGTGGGCATCCAAAAGCCATGGATGTCGCCTTCAGAACTCTTCATAAAATTGCCAATATTGTAACTTTTAATGGGACCAGAAGAAACAGGCTCACTATATTTGAGCTACCAAAATCCAGACCACCACAAGGTTGCAGGAAAGAAATATTAGGGATCTCAATGCTGCTGTGGTTCTCCAGATATTTGCAGCCCAAATATGTAACCCCTATGGAAACAAAATAATTAAAATACATGTAATCGGGAATCTGGGAGTACCTTTTTCCAATTGTTGCAGCATATGAAATCTTAGGCTTTTAAATAAAAGACCTAGAAGATTTTTCATTGGAAAAAGTGCTCCTGAGAATCCTGATCGTTTTTTTTTTCAAAAGGGGGTGGTGGTGTTTAATGATAGGCTACCACGGCTATACCCTATACAGTGTAAAACATGCAAGAAGACATTATAACATTGATATCTTATTACCATTACATTAAATTATAAATTATGGTTTATATGTTTGACTTTGCCCTTCTGAGTTCTCTGTTCTTGTCTCATTTCCATTTTGTAATATAGACCATGACCTAAATAAATACGTTGGTTTGGGTGAGCGGGGTGCCTTCATGTCAATCTTGAGTTTTGGTTACTGCCTGGTCTGATTTTCTTGGCAGTTTTCTTGCCAAGATTTCAGAAGTGTTTTGCTATTGCCTTTTACTTCCTATGGTTGACGGAGAGGAAATGGCCCCAAAACTCCCAGCTGGCATCATATCGAAAATGAGACTAGATCTCACGTTCTCCTGATTTCCAAACTGATTCCATAACCACTAGACCAATCTGGCTGAAACGTATCACTGAGGTTTGATCACTCAAACCAAAAATATTGAGCACCCCTACAAATATATTCCTTCCAGTGATGCTTGTTTTTCATGGCTTTAGAAAGGAGTAGTGTATGAAGGACCAGTAGATTTTACACTCCCTCAATCTATAGGGGACATTCAAATTGTTCAGATTGATTTATCTCTACATTTCCAATTAGTGCTTTTTTCTGAGTGTACCAAGCTTAGACAATGGAGGCTCTGAGCATATGAAAAGAGCCTGATGTATTTCTGTAAAATGTTTCTATCCCACCTACACTTTACAAAGCTCACAAAATCATAAAAACCCATATACAACTTGGTTCAGCACTTGTTTCAATAGATTTCAGTTCAGTAAATAACCAAATTGTTTAAAACTGACTGGTGCCCATTGAAAATTAGATTTTTCTAACTGGGCTAAGGGAAACCATAATCATACATTAGCAGATTCTAGGAGCTGTTGAATTCATCTGAAATTATAAACATAACATTCATAACAATGAATCTGAGTCAAGCATCTCTTCCTGGATTCTGCTCTCCAAACGAACAGCCCAGACTTCAGACAAAAAAACCATGCAGGATCCAATCCGGGTCAGTCACGAGGCCAAAGGTTTTGTCTCCCGAGCTTTCGGACATTACAGTAAAAAAGGACATACATTCAATTTTGCAGCTACTAAGTTTGTTGGACGAGCAGGCACAAAAACAGCCAGGAAAGTGATTGAAAGCCTGGGAAACACTCCCCTCGCCAATCAGCAAGAGTGCAGAGCTTATCAAATACTTAGGAGGTGTGGAGGGGGGGAGTTGGCAGCACAAGGAAACAACAGCCAAAGACTTAATATCCAGCCATCAACACCCAAATCTACATCTAAAAAGCTACACACAACTGGCATCATATAAATACCATACACAGACTAGCCCAAAGCACTCAGAGAAGTTCCTTTAGGATGGGCTCCAGCATGGGTCCAAAAATTCAGAAGACAAAACCTCTGGTCTGGGTGACCAACCCGGATCGGATCCTGCAACATTATCCTGGAACATGTATATTCACTTTCATTCATGAAAAAAAACTATGCCTTGTTGGCCTGGTAGAGTATCAAGAGGACTTCGGAAGAGTCTTTTGCTAACGTAACAAGGCCAAGGACATCAAACACACACCTAGCAAGCCCTGAGGCTCCAAGAGAGACAAGGTAGTATTATGGATAGTTTCCTATAAGATCTTGGCAGCTTGTACGCTATTTTTATATTTTCTCAAGGTAGCTTAGCCAGGGACAGGATCTCAAGGAAATGTAACCAGTTCAGCCTTTTAAAAAAAGGCTTTAATTAGATCTGGAAACCAGATAGGAATTTAATGTTGGCTACTCTTCATGTCTGGCTATC